TACTACTACTACTACTACTACTACTACTACTACTACTACTACTACTACTACTACTACTACTACTACTACTACTACTACTACTACTACTACTACCACTACTACTGCTACTGCTACTGCTACCACTACTACTAAACTTTCATTCTCTGCACGCAACAAGGGGTTATATATCAACCACACATACATGGAAGCGTCTACAAACACATCCACGGAGCGCGCTCGCGCACGCCAGCGGGTGACCATGGTCACCCGCTCGCGCGTTCACGCTCGCGCGATGGATGCATGCGCTCTGTATTTTGTATACAAGCATGGCAATGTTACTTCGGAAACCCAATGGCGAAAACCCAATGTACAATTTCATTCTCTGGACGCAACAAGCGGCTATATCAACCGCAAATGCATGGAACCGTATATAATCACATCCACCGAGCGCGCTCGCGCACGCCAGCGGGTGACCATGGTCACCCGTTCGCGCGCTCACGCGCGCGCGATGGATGCACGCACCATGCGTTTTGTATACAAGCATGGCAATGTTACTTCGGAAACCCACTGGTGAAAACCCAATGTAAAATTTCATTCCCTGGACGCAACAAGCGGCTAGATCAACCGCAAATGCATGGAACCGTATATAATCACATCCACCGAGCGCGCTCGCGCACGCCAGCGGGTGACCATGGTCACCCGCTCGCGCGCTCACGCTCGCACGATGGATGCACGCACTATGCGTTTTCTATACAAGCACGGCAATGTTACTTCGGAAACCCAATGGCGAAAACCCAATGTAAAATTTCACTCTCTCGGCACAACAAGCGGTTATACCAGCCGCAAATATATGAAACCGTATACAAACATATCTGCGAGCGCGCTCGCGCACGCCAGCCGGTGACCTTGGTCACCCGCTCCAAGGCTCACGTGTGCGCGATTGATGCATGTGCTGTGTTTTGTATACAAGCATGGCAATATTACTTCGGAAACCCAATGGCGAAAACCCAATGTACAATTTCATTCTCTGGACGCAACAAGCGGCTATACCAATCACAAAAATATGGAACCGTATACAGACACATCCATCGGGCGCGCTCGCGCACGCCAGCGGGTGACCGTGGTCACCCGCTCGCGGGCTCACGCGCGCGCGATGGATGGATGGAGTATGCGTTTTGTTTACTAGCATGGCAAAGTTACTTCGGAAACCCAATGGCGAAAACCCACTGTAAAATTTCATTCCCTGGACGCAACAAGCGGCTATATCAATCACAAATCTATGACACCTCATACAATCAAATACACCGAGCGCGCTCGCGCAGGCCAACGGGTGACCATGGTCACCCGCTCGCGCGCCCACGCGCGCGCGAAGGATGCATGTTTTTTGCTGGTGCGCTGCGCGAACACCGCGCCTCCGCGCCCAACGGTGTAGCTGCCACGGCACATGCGTGGCGGAGCGTGCTGATGTCTGCGTCGTTACTTTCCTTCCTTCGAACACTAGCGGGGCAAGGGGGGGAGAGGGGAGAAGGGGAGGGGAGGGGGGGGGAGGCGAAGGGGGGAGAAAGGACCAATGACAGCGGGGTGATGACGACGATCAAGTAATTAGCTGTCTCTGGGCGGCATCACGGATAGCTTGAGTGTGAGAGGGGTTCGTGGTATCGACCTCTGCGAAGCGGAGAGCTGGCGGCAACGAGCTCCGGATGCATGTACTATTCGTTTTTATACACATGCATGGAGGAGGAGGAGGAAGAGGAGGGAGGAGGAGGACGAGGACGAGGATGGGGATGAGGAGGAGGAGGAAGAGGAGCAGGAGGAGGAGGAGGGGGGGGGAGGAGGCATAAGAGGACTAGGTATCCAGGAGATGTCCAGAGGGTATCCAGGAGGTTTCCGGAGGGTAGCCAGAGGATTTCCAGAGGGCTTCCAAAGGGATCCCAGAGGGTTTCCAAAGGTTCCCCCAAGGGTTCCCGTAGGGTTCGCAAAGGGTGTCCACAGGATTTACAAAGGGTTTCTAAAAAGGTGTGCAAAGAAGTTCCCCGAGGGTTCCCAGCGGCTGTCGAACAGAAAAGGATTTCCAGAAGGTTGCCCAATGATTTCAAAAGGGTATCCTCAGGGTTCCCAACACGTTTCCGAAAGGTTTCCAAAGGTTTTTCCCGAATCCCCAAACGATTCCCAAAAGGGTTTCGAAGAGGCTGACAAAGAGGTTCCCACAGGGTGTCCAAAAAGGTTTCGACAACATTTCCAGAGGGTTGCCAAAAGGTGCTTCCAGAAGGTTCCTAATGGGTTCCCAAAGGATCCCCAAAAGGTTCCCAAAAGGTCTCCAAAGTATTTCCAGAGGGTCCCCAACGGGGTTCCAGAAGGCGCCCAGAGTGTTCCCTGACGGCTCTCCATACATAGGTTTCCAAAGGGTTCTCCAAAGGTTCCCAGAGGGTTCTCCATAGGTTTCCAGAAGGTGCCCAAGAGGTTCTTCGGAGGTCGATGAGTTCCCAAGAGGGTTCCAGAGGTCCGAGAGGCTCTTCAGAGGCTCTTCAGAAACTCTTCAGAAGGTCTTCAGAGGCTCGTCAAGAGGCTCTTCAAAGGCTCTTCAGAAGCTAAGGCTCCGTGGAGGCTCTTCAGAAGCTCTGCGGAGGCTCTTCAACAGGCTCTTCAGAGACTCCCCAGGAGCTCGGCAGAGGATATTCAGAGGCTCTTCGGAAGCTCTTCAGAGGCTGCGCATGGGCTCCACAGGGGCTCGGCAGAAGCTCTTCAGAGGCTCTGCGGAGGCTCTTCAGAGGTTGTTCAGAGGCTGTTCAGAAGATCTTCAGAGGCTCTCCGGACGCTCTGCAGAGGCTCTTCAGAGGCTCTTCAGAGGCTCTGCAGCTCGGCAGAGGCTCTTCAGAGGCTCTGCAGCTCGGCAGAGGCTCTGCAACAAGGAAACCAATGTACAGGACGGCTGGGTACCCTCTGCGCGCCCCGCGACCTCTCCCCGAATGCGACGATGAATGAACTTGCAGGGCTGCGCAAGTACAGGACACAAGGGCACCCTGCTGCGAGGGGGCGACCTCGAATCAACGCGTCGTTGGTTCACAAGCGGCGCGCCCGAACTCAGAGGACATCGCAGATAGACCCTTCGCCGCGGCGCCAGCGGCGCGGCGCTGAAACCATAATCATACTTTGAAGCCACGTGAGCCCCCAAATCCGAGAGGACGCCAAGGTACCCTAGACAGGGGCCGCGACCTCCTGCCGGCGCGACGCACTCAGACCGCCGCAGGCCAAGCCACCGACACCCGCGGAAACCACAGGACGCAAGGGTACCCTGCCCTTCGGCCGCAGAGGACACGACGCGCGATGCACAGGACACAAGAGCACCCTGATTTCGCAGGGCCGACCTACTACTGGAACCCGACTGTATTACGGGGCGCCGATGGTGGGCGTGGATAGGTGTGGAGTGTGTTCTGCCCAGTCCTTCTTCCTGCAGACGGTGGGTTCGACCTGCCCCTCCCGCTCCCGAACCCTGACTCTGCTTCTTCATGATGAGCCCACCTACATTTTGGCGCTGAGACCTGCTCTGACTTGGGAGAAGTTGGTCTGGAAGGCAATACGTCCAGGGATGTTGGGCATTCTCTTGCTGGGCTGCGAGAACTTTCTGGGACGGCGCTGCAGTCAGGGCTCAGGACCTGGAGCCAAGTCAAAGGACTCTTGGGGGCTGCTGTGCTGCCTCTGGCCCGTGTCGCCTGGTCATTCAAGACCCCGTTCGCATGGGTCAATCACCTTGGGGGTGAAATCTACCTCACCAGCACCTCCCCCGCCAAATGTACCTCGGACTTGAAGGCTGCTTGGATGAGACAGCTCTCTGAGAGGGCTGCCCAGAGAATCGGGCTGGAGGGTGAAAGGGTGGATATGTCCGTTGCTAGGGGCCGTATGTGTTCTGACGCCCTTAGTGCGGCTGAGAAGCGATTGTTGAAGCTTTTCTTTTGCTGTGCTTCTGCACCAAGTGGCGTATCGCGCAGATGGGGTACGTTACTTCTGATTCGTCTTGTCCGTTGTGCGGTGCTGTATCTGATGATTTGCATCACCGACTGTTTATCTGCCCTGCCACGAGGGCGCGGCGAGATGAGTTTCTCACAGAGTTGGTGCATGATGTGATCATCAATGGTGGTGGTGAGTGCCACTTGATATTAGGCTTATAAATTGAGCCAGAAAGCAGATGTTGTCCACCTGATGGTCTCGGACACGAGCAGTACGAAGTTCAGAGCGTGGATCCTGGCGCTACTGTCCTTGAAGCCTGGAGAGAAAAGATTATTTTCTGGGATGGGTCTTGTTTCAACAGAAGGCATCGTTTACACCACTGTGCTGAATGTGCTTGTGCTGGTATCACAGGTCATGGCGAAGTGCATGCTTCGATCTCTGGTAAAGTAGGTCGGCTCCTTCCTCAGAGCAGCCCAGCCGCTGAACATGCAGGTTTCCTGGCTACGTGCATGTGACTCAATACCGTGGAGGGGTGATCTTCATCTGCATGGCTTGTGGATGCATGACCGATTCAGGACGGCTTAAGAAGCTTCCAGAAGAATGCATTGGAGGGCCCAACAGTGACCACCTCAGGTCGAAGATGAACAGAGTCGGGAGTGCAAGTCTCCCTCGCACGCTAAGAGCAACACTGTTGTATTTGAGGAGCTCTCATGTTTGTCTCCCAGCTGTTGGGTTGAAATGCTAACCGCCAGGTGATCTGGTGACGTTTACCCGGCCAGCGGTGGCAGCCAGTGGATGTTTTTCTGTTTGCTGCTTGCCACCTGCTAGACCTTGCGTTGCACCAAAAAAGGTGACCAATCCAATCCGCGCTCCTCATTCCCCCATCCTTGCTCCTCATTCCCCCATCCTCGCTCATGTATAGCTCTTTGCTCCTCGCGCCTTCCTCATCTGTCCTCCTCTCTCCTCCTCCTCCTCCTCCTCCTCCTCCTCCTCCTCCTCCTCCTCCTCCTCCTCCTCGTCCTCCTCCTCCTCCTGCTCGTCCTCCTCCGCCTCCTCCGGCCCCCGGGGGAGCGGTCTTTCAGCAGGCCCCGGTTGATGGAGGCCGCCAGCTCCTCGCGACGCGGGCGCTCTGCGACGAGTGGGCGAGTAGCGCCTCGTACTCGCCGTCATCCTGGTGTTCGTCCTCGTGGTCTTCAACCTCGAGGTCTTCGCCCTTCTCATAATCACACCACAACAACATCATGCGCATGATCATGCGACTCGTCGCCCTGCTAACGGTCCTCACACTGCTCCTCCTTCTCCTCCTCCGCCAACTCCTCCTCAACGTTATTCTCGGGCTCTTTTTCCCTATCATCATCGTCATCATCATCATCATCAGCATCATCATCATCATCATCATCATCATCATCACCATCACCATCACCATCAACATCATGATCATGATCATGATCAGCATCCTCCTCCGCCTCCTCATCGTCGTCGCCATCTTCATCGTCATCGTCATCATCACTCCACCACCACAGCAACAACCAGCATCAGCACCATCAGCATAATGAGCATCATCAGCATCAGCAGCAACATCATCGTGATCGGCATCGTCACCCTGATCGTCGTCCCCATCCCCGTCACCATCGCAATCCGTCCCATCACCATCAACCGGATCTCATCATCAGCAGCATCAGCAGCATCAATATATCATCAACGTTAACATCAGCCTCATTATCAGCATGAGCAACAGCATCAGCACCAGCATCATGATGAGAGTCTGCATCATCATTAGTAGCCCCATCACCACCACAAACACCAGCAGCAGCATCGTCATCACCAGCGGCAGCCTCATGATCAACATCAGCATTGTCGTTGGCATCATCATCATGAGCAGCATCAGCATCAGCATCAGCATCACCCTCAGCATCATCAGCAGCATCAGCATCGTCGTCGTCATCATTATCATCATCAGCATCAGCAGCATCATCGTCAGCATCAGTATCAGCATCAGCAGCATCATTATCAGCATCAGCGTCATCATGAGCATGACCATCAGCATCATCATCATCATCATCATCATCATCATCATCATCATCATCATCATCATCATCATCGTCATCATCATCATCATCATCATCATCATCATCATCATCATCATCATCATCATCATCATCATCATCATCATCGTCATGACCATCATCGTTATCATCATTATAATCAGCATCAGTATCATCATCATCAGCATCATCAGCATCATCACCATCATCAAAAAAACTCATCAATGTCTCCCTCAACAGCATCATCAAAAATAGAAGCATCATCGGCATCATCATCAACGGGATCATCAGCAGCAGCTTCATCAGCAGCAGCATCATCAGCATCATCAGCATCAGCATCATCATTGGCATCTTCATCGTCATCGGCATCATTGCCGAAATCATCATCATCAGCATCATCATCATCATCATCATCATCATCATCATCAGCATCATCATCATCATCATCATCAGCATCAGCGTCATCATCAGACCCAGCATCACCATCAGCATCAGCTGCATTAGCATTAGCATCATCATAAATATAATCAGTATCACCATCGGCATCCTCATCCTCATCCTCATCATCATCATCAGCATCATCATCATCATCACCATCATCATCATCATCATCATCATCATCATCATCAGCATCATCATCATGATCAGCATCATCATCATCATCATCATCATCATCATCATCATCATCATCATCATCACTATCGTCATCGTCATCGTCAGCATCATCAGCATCAGTATCGTCACTATCAGCAGCATCAGAATCACAATCCTCATCATGATGATCGTCCTCATCATCGTAATCATCATCAGCATCAGCATCATCATCATCGTGACCGCTGAGCATCAGCGTCAGCATCAGCATCATGATCATCATCATCATCCGCATCATCCACAGCATCAGCATCATCATCATTATCAGCAGCAGCATCATCAGCATCAGCATCATCGTTTGCGTCATAGGAACAGTCATGAACAAAATCATCAGCAGCAGCAGCATCATAATCATCATTACAACCACCATCATCACCATCATCATCATCATCATCATCATCATCATCATCATCATCATCATCATCATTATCGTCATCGTCATCGTCATCACCATCATCATCGCTATCACTATCATCAATATCACCACCATCATGACCATCATCGTCACCACTCGCAAAATGATCATCATCATCAGAATCATCATCATCATCGTCATCATCATTAGCCTTATCACAGGTGTCATCATCATCAACATGGCAACAATCATCAACATCATCATAATCAAACTCATCGTCTCCGTAATCGTCATCATCATCATCATCATCATCATCATCATCATCATCATCATCGTAATCATCATCGTTACAGTCATCGGTATCATCATCATCATCCTCAGCATCGTCACCGGCATCATCGTGACCGTCTTTCCCATCAGCGTACGCATCATCATCATCGAGACCGTCATCAGCATCAGCATCAGCAGCAACATCGGCATCAGACTCGGCATCAGTGCCGTCATCATCATAGTCGTCATCATCATCATCACCATTAGAAGCGGCATCATCAGCATCAGCATTATCGTCAGCAGAAGCATCATCACCACCATCATCATTATCGTCATCGTCATCATCATCAGCATCATCGGCATCACCAGCAGCAGCAGCATCATCACCCTCATCATCAGCATCATCATCTTCATCGCCATCGTCATCGTCATCATCATGACCATCAGCATCAACATCGGCATATTCATAGTCATCGTCGTCATCATCAGCAGCAAGGTCAGCATCATCATCACCAGCATGACATCATCATCAGCAACGTCAGCATCATCAGTATCATCAGTATCAGCAGCGCAATCGACATCGTCATCAGCAGCATCGTCAGCTGCAGCATCATCCGAATAATCACCATCATAAACTTCACCATCATCATCAGGATCAGCATCATCATCATCATCATCATCACCGTCATCATTGTCAGCATCGTCATCAACAGTATCAGTATCATCATCGTTGTCACCATCAGAATCATCAGCGTCGTCATCAGCATCGTCATTATCACCACCAACATCAGTATAATCAGTATCATCAGTATCATCATTATCATCATTATCATCACTACCACCATTACCATCATCAACCTAATCATGGGCATCATCAGCACCGTCATCATCAGCAGCAGCATATTATCAGCATCGGCATTAACATGAGTGTTGTCATCATAATGACCACGATCATCATTTTCATCATCATCGTCATCACCATCATCGCTGTAGCAGCAGTCTTCCTCGGCAGCATCAGCGTCAGCATCAGCGTCAGCATCAGCACCATCATCGTCGAAAATGAGGTTAACATCAGCATCAGCATCAGCATCAGCATCAGCATCATGAGCATCATCGGCACCATCATCAGCAGAAGCATTATCAGCAGCATCATCATTATCAGCATCAGCATCATCATCATCATCGTCATCATCAACACCATTCCCAGTATGATCAAAATCATCAGCATCATCGCCATCAGTATCATCAGTGTCATCAGCATCATCATCATCATCGTCATCAGCATCAAAATCATCCTCCCCAACATCAGACTCATCGTCATCGTGATCAACGTCGTCATCAGCAGCATCATCAGCATCGCGACCGTCGTCCTCGTCATCATCAGCATCAGCGGCAGCATAATCATCACCAACATAAGAAGAAACGCCAGCAGCAACGGCATTAACACTGGCAGCGACATCGTCATCACCAGCAGCCTTAGACGCAGCAGGATGAGAATAGTCATCAGCATCAGCATCATCATCACTACCATGAGCATCGTCATCATCATCATCATCATCAGCATCATCATCATCATCAGCATCGCCATCATCATCACCATCATCATCATGATCATCCGCATCATCACCATCGTCATCGTTATCAGCATTAGCACTATTATCAGCATCAGCATCATTATCATCATTGTCGCCATCGTCATCATCATCAGCAGCAGCATCATCGTGACCGTCATCCTCATCAGCATCATCAGCATCGAGACCGTAATCCTCGTGAGCATCAGAATCACCAGCATCATGAGCATCCTCATCAGCATCATCTTCGTTATCATCATCGAGACCGTTACCAGTATCAGCATCAGCATCACCATCAGCATCAGTATCAGCATCAGCGTAAGCATCATCATCATCTTCATCAGCAGCAGCATCATCAGCATCACCAGTATCACCACCATCATCACTGTGAAAGTTTCACCAGTATCACCATCAACACCACCATCATTACCATCAGTACAATTATGATCAACATAACGATCATCAGCAGCATCACAATCATCATCCTCATCCTCCTCAGTAGCATCGTCTTTATCATCATCGTGATCATCATCAGCAGCATCAGCATCATCTTCATCATCAGCAGCATCATCAGCATCAGCCTCAGCATCATTGCCATCGTCATCACCATCAGCGTGACCGTCGTCATCAACATCCTCATTATCATCGTCATCATGACGTCTGCATCATCATCAGCATCGTCATCACCAACAACGTCGGCATCATCAGCCTCATCAGCATCAGCAGCACCATCGCCATCGTCATCAACAACACCATCAGCCGCCTCATCCTCAGAATAATCATCATCACCTTCATCCCAGTGATCGTCATCATCAGTGTCATCAGCATCATCACCATTGTCATCAGTAGCAGCATTAGCACTATTATCAGCATCAGCATCAGTATCATCATTGTCGCCATCGTCATCATCATCAGCAGCAGCAGCATCATCGTGACCGTCACCCTCATCAACATCATCAGCATCGAGACCGTAATCCTCGTCAGCATCAGAATCACCAGCATCATGAGCATCATCATTAGCATCATCATCGTCATCATCATCGAGACCGTTACCAGCCTCAGCATCAGCATCATCATCGGCATCAGTATCAGCATCAGCGTAAGCATCATCATCATCAACAGCAGCATCATCAGCATCACCAGTATCACCACCATCCTCACTGTGAAATGTTCACCTGTATCACCATCAACACCACCATCATTACCATCAGTACAATTAT